GCCTTAAGTTAATCATGGTGAGGTCCTCAACGCACTCAGGGTAGAACTGCCTCTTGAGCTGTCTCTTAAACTCCTCCCATGTGTCAACCGCTCTTGCGCTTCTACCAGTGAAACGCTGCCTCCACCATAGAGCGGCAGTGTCCATGAGGTACATGGTGCCTGTCTGCACCTTTTCCTCATCGTCCTCGATCTCCATACACTCGAAGTTCCACTCCATGTGCTAGAAGAAGTTGTCAATATGGTGCGCATTCCTTGACCCATCATACTCCTTGGGCTTTGGTGCCTTCTTTTTCCTTGGCTTCATCGCGACCTCGCGTGCCTGGGAGAAAAACTTCTTGCACTCGACAATCTCCACGCGCAAGTCGTCTACCCGATCATGCAAGTCCCTTTCCTTCTCTCGCGCCTTAATAGCCATGTTGTCGATTAGCTCATAGAGCTCTCCAATCTTTCTCTCGAGCCGGTTGAACTTAGTCTCCGTGTAGACCTAGTGTGTGGCGAGCTTCTCCTCCAAGCTCTGCTTCAAGATATGGACTTGGTGGTCTCCTACGTTAGCCATGTCTACTCTAACAAAGCTCCTTTGACGAACCTACTCTGATACCAATTATCACAAGCTTAGAGTTTTAGCACCACTCTAGCAATTCCCGTGCGGCACAAGATGTTGCTTCTACTCTCGCAAGTACTTGGTTAGCCTAACTCCCGTGCCCACCTTAGCCAACGCAGTTCGCTCGTGCGCTTACTAGTGTTGTAGTGGCCCTCGCCCTCTCTTCACTTGGCTTACACACTCACACACACTAAGATGCTTAAGTTGGCAAGGAAAGAACACTTCTATTACTTCAAAGAATGTTTTGTACAAAGCTAGCTCTCAAACTCTCTACAAGGCTCTCAAGACTCGCTCTAGGACTTGTTGGCTACAAAATGAAGTCCTACTCCTATTTATAGGCATGTCCATCCCAAATGGAAGGCTAGGATGCATTCTAACCAACGGTGGAGATCAATTCTCTAGAATCTTCTCCCACCTTCTTCATACTTCCATACATATCCACAAGTATCTACAACATTTTAGAATTCTCCATACTATTCCACACAATTCTGGAGAACTTTAGAATATACTACACATATCTAGAATCTTCCACACAACTCTAGACAACTCCAGAAGACTCTAGAAAATTCACTCTCCATGCAGTTGCCATGCAGCATCCTACTCAGCGCCTGCATGTCGCCTGCGTGGCGTAACCTCCATAGACGGGGCGTGACACTAGACTTCCTTAATAAGGCCAATTTAATAAGGTTGATTAATTCTGTGAAAATATCATAGTTTGCAGAGAAATTATTAGATACCAAATATACTTTCAATTATAAATGTCTTATTATATAATAGTACTCTGATTTTATTAGATACCAAATAGACTTTCAATTATAAAAATTCAAATTTTAATAGTACTCTGATTTTAGTAATTTTATCATATGGTAACTATACCCCTAATTTTAGTTTCATATAGTATATGGTAAATTACTATATGCCGCCGCAGCCCAAAAGTAGTCTCACCTCCGTCTCTTTCTGTTCCCGTCGGCCTCTGCAATTGGGTGAATTATATGCCGCCGCAGCCCAAAAGTAATCTCACCTCCGTCTCTTTCTGTTCCCGTCAGCCTCTGCAATTGGGTGAATATATATATATATATATATATATATATATATATATATATATATATCGTCGCCTCCCTCACCCTCTACCTCCCAGACCGGTCTCTCTCCACCACCACCGTTCCTCTCTCTCCACCACCACCATCACCTTCCTCTCTCTCCACCACCACAACATCGTTCCTCTCTCTCCCTACCACCACCATAACCACCGATTCTATAACCCAACCACCAAAATTAAAACAGGAAGATGCCATCACAGCCTTCGACTTTGTTTTGTGAAATTAGGTTCAATTAGTGAAAAAAAAAAAAAAAAAAAAAAAAAAAAAAAAAAAAAAAAAAAATTAGGTTCAATCAAACACATTGAAGCTTTGTTAACAGTAACGTTGAAGCTTCAACTTCCAAAATTAGTTTCAATCAAACACATTGAAGCTTAATCTTCCAGAATTTGCAGAAGCTTCATTAACAGTAACCCTTGATTTTCTCTGAACGGCGGCCCTTTCGTTTCTCAGATAAAGCATCACTCAAAGCCCTAATTCGAAGTCCAAACCAGTTCAATTCGTTTCAATTTTGCTTAAACATTTTTTTTTCATTCATTTTATTCAATTCCAAGCGCTATCGAATTCGAATACCGAATTGGTGTGGACAATTCTGGAAAATTTAAAGCGTTAGATTCGTTGATTGTGTATGGGCATGGGAAGGGTTTACAGAGAAACCTCCAAGCCCTCGTTGTCTTCATCGTCTCCGGCACCAAAGGTGACGACTTCGACGTCAGTCATTGAAACTGTGAAATGGTTCGCATTATTTCGACATCACAACCACCAAACCCATAACCACCACTGTTCTTGCTGCACAACCACCACTCACCCCACAACCATTACCGCACTGATCATCTCTCCGCGAGGAAGTTACGGATTTTATTTGTGGAATAATTGTCAGGGGTATAATTGTCTTTTAACTATTCTAATATTTTGAAATAAATGTTATTTAAAAAATAGGGGCAAATTTGTCTTTTCTAATGCTTTTAACGGAAACTATGACGAAAAAATAAAAATGGACCTAACTAATAATTATTTTCAAAAGATATTTTAAACTGATATTTGGTCAAATCTTAGGAATGTCCGTGAAATTAATCCTAATTTATAATATAACCTCAAAACAAGTGAGCATTTTATGCCCCCCCGGGGCGGCGGCGGGCGATAAACTAATGCCACCTCTGATAAACCAATATATCTCACACAGTCACCCATGTCACCATCGTTTCATCCACCACCAAACCACCTCTCAATTTCAAACCCCATACAAATCCACCGAACAAGGTCACCAAGCTAATGATGAACCTTTTTTTTTTTTTCTTTAAATGTTAATGATGAACTTCTTGAAGAAGAACGAAATCAAGAAGATGAATATATAATGCAATCATTCATTTAATAATAATAAAGTCAATATATTCAACCCAAAAAACCAACTGTAGAACAGAAAGGCCGAAGCCCAAAGAGCACAAGGCCCAGCAGCACATTCCGTGTTAGAGCTTACTCTTATTTTAGTATAAATTTATAATGTCTATTGAACAACTTTGTTGACTCTTATATTGTATTCACAACACTTCACTGAACATACTTCTACTAATCCAAAATAAATAAATAAATAAATTTGATAAAAAAAAAAAAAACTTTATCCTTCCGTTCATAATATATATACTCCCCCCCAAATTTGACGTCGCCTCCGATAATAGTGACTCACAACAATTTTGGGACGGAGAGAGTATTGTTTTGCTAAAGGAATCACCTCACAACTTGCTTCCCTTTTGAAAAAAAAAATCATTCTTTTTTTTAAAAAAAAATTTTATGTTTAAGCTCGGTCATACAATTTTCGAACCAAAAAGGCATGAACTTAGTGTGATTAGTCATTCCATTATGTGCTGTGATTTCTGTTTGATATAAGAAGACTAATTAAAACATGTAGTTTATAGTGTATTTCCTATTACCTTGAAATAAGAGTAACAATTAAAGAAAAGTAAAAATATTATGTTGAATTGTTATTTATTTTCTTCATTCGTTCATCTGATAGTTAAGATTTTGGAGGAAACCAAATTGTTGTGAATATATCGTGGATGTTGATGCCACACACTGTCATAGAGAGATAGTCCGCGAGCTTGAAGAGATTGATCTTGACGATCTCATAAGAAACACCATTACAGTGAGCCTTAGCCATGTGGTATCCAATTCCCCAGTTGGGGAGAAAGCTAGCCGGGTCAATCAGATTTTTCTCATAGGGTTTGTAGAAGAAGCAGCATTGGTTGCAGAAAACGCCCGAAATTTCTGAGGAAGTTCAACCGTACCCTGAAGAAGCTAGCCGTTTTCTTCATTGGAGCTGCTCTGTTTTCGAGAGTACTCACCATTTTCAGATTGAAATTATTCTCTACCATAAAAATTGCAGTCATCCACAAAACGGTGTCGTGTTAGGAGAACCAGAGCCATTTTCAGATTGAAATTATTCTCTACCATAAAAATTGCAGTCATCCACAAAACTGTGTCGTGTTAGGAGAACCAGAAATTAGAATGCAAATAAATATTACATACACGTGGAAAAAATCAACATTTACTTAAAAAGAGCCCGTAATCAACAATGGATATTAAAGGCAAATTCAAAGCTTTAAAGTTTTAGTATCAATTATTATTATTATCATCCTTCCCTTCTATTTAATACAAATGGGTCCACAAAATAGATTCACTTTTTTTCTTCCATCTTTTATATTATAAAATCATCTCTTACTATTATTTAATTTTTGTAAATCATATCTTATTACTTCTTGATCAACAAAGCATAACTCTATTCTTTCTTGGTTTCTCACTATTTTTTTATGTTAAGAAATGCCAAGCCACATTGAGGAAATGACATGATTCAGACCAACTTGATCTAGGCAACCAGATTAAGTTGTCCGAAGAACATGTTATGAAAATTTGGGCATTGAACTGGCAAACACATTTCAGTACATGGGGCATTGAAATGCCAAGCACAAAATTGTTCTAATATACGGAAGATGCCAAGCAAATTGTGGTAGTGACATCCAGATTAAATTTTTATTTTTTATTTTCGAATCAGATTAAGTTGTTTAAAGCATAACATGTTGTGAAATTTGGGCATTGATTATAGATAGTCAAAGAATATTGGAAAGTGTCGTGAAAATCAACAATTGGCAGCATCATCATGCAACATCTATTTGAATGTTCTATGGTTGCTGCTAATCGAACCAAATATGATCAACAATTGGCAGCATCATCATGCAACATCAATTTGAATGTTCTATGGTTGCTGCTAATCGAACCAAATATGATCAACAAGTTTACCACCCAGAATCTTAAGGGAAAAAAAATATAGAAAACACTATAGAAAATCATATTTCAGTCATAGAAGGTAAAATAACATAGTTGTTCGATTGACCAATCGAATCCTACAATCTGTATAAACTGGTAGTTGAGGTTACAACCACAGTAACAGCAAGTTTCCAAATTAGCATATGCTCAGGCATCACTCCTGATATTCCTCTTCATCCTCATACTCTCCCTCTTCATCAGCTGTTGCATCTTGATACTGCTGGTACTCAGAAACCAGATCATTCATGTTGCTCTCAGCCTCTGTGAACTCCATCTCATCCATTCCTTCACCTGTGTACCAATGCAAGAACGCCTTCCTCCTAAACATAGCCGTAAATTGCTCGCTCACACGCCTAAACATTTCCTGAATTGATGTTGAGTTGCCAATGAATGTCGCCGCCATTTTAAGCCCAGTAGGCGGGATGTCGCATTGAGTGGACTTGACATTGTTGGGAATCCACTCAACAAAGTAGGAAGAGTTCTTGTTCTGGACATTCAGCATCTGCTCATCTACCTCTTTTGTGCTCATCTTTCCACGGAACATAGCCGATGCTGTCAAATAACGGCCATGGCGTGGGTCAGCTGCACACATCATGTTCTTTGAGTCCCACATTTGCTGGGTGAGCTCGGGGACTGTCAAGGACTGGTACGATTGAGAACCGCGCGAGGTGAGAGGAGCAAAACCCACCATGAAGAAGTGAAGGCGAGGAAATGGAATGAGGTTCACCGCAAGTTTGCGAAGATCAGAGTTGAGCTGGCCAGGGAATCTTAGGCAACATGTAACCCCAGACATGGTTGCAGATATTAAATGATTTAGATCACCAACTGTAACAATATGAGAGGGAAAATATATGTTAATAATAAGAGCAAGGAAAAACATGATAATTGATAATGATGAAACTTACACAAAAGAAACAACTTGCATAGAACTCCAAATTACATAATACTTCAACTCAAGCACATTAGATAATAATATAAAAATTATCAGGAAATTGAACACCAACTTATTTGAACTAAGTCCATACGAAATAATGCAATAAAAAAATTAATGAGATAAATGATAGTCTTTTGGATTCAATGTACACGTGACCATCATTCTCTCATTAATCTCAAAGCCACTCATATTTACTTGTAAACTTTTGGTGCAAAGATCAATTTGTAAGGAATACAGTTTCCCCTAGTCCAAAGCAAACACAAACTTGTAAACGTTTGGTGCAAAGATCAATTTGCAAGGACAGTTTCCCCTAGACCAAAGGAAACACAACTCGAGCTCCTGTAGTATTGCAGAAGTTCACAGTTTACTTTACAGATGATTATACAACCCAATGAAAAGGGCATGACAGTTCAAAACATGAGAAATCGAAAATTAACGGCGTTAAGTAAAAAGCACTCCATATCTTAGTAGCTCTACATATATAAAAGCAAAAGTAAACAGTTGTAAAGAGCAAACAGAATAGTAAGTACTCAAAGTTGACAATTGGCATCATTATCATACTCCAGCAAAAAGTAAAGTAAACAGTTTAACTTAACGTATATGTATCACATCCCAGTAAAGATTCTGTGCATTATATCTCAACAATTTATTTCACTAATATAATTAAGTATCTTTATTACTCTTTGGAGTAAGAAAGAAAAATAGAATTTTCTTCTCAGTTGGCAGTAACTCGTGTTGATAACGTGTTACAATCATGTAAGAAATATATTATCAATTGAACAGAGAACAAACTATAGAATTACAAAAAAACAAGATAAGAAAGCATGTGGGAATGGAATATAACAATTATTGTACTGACATAATGCATTAAAAGTGTGAACCACGCTCATCTATAACAATTATGCACAATACACTTGATCTTATAGGCAAAAGTTTCACCGCCTTAGATTACTGACCTCATTTGCCACAATGCACCATACTAACACAATACATTTAAAGTGTGGACCCCATTCATATATATATATATATATATATATATATATATATATATATATATAACAATTATTAGTTAAGCTGTTTACTAGTCTGTTTAGTTAGCCTTGAGCCGTTCTACTTTTTACTGATTGCTCTTTACTTTTCTATTTATTTATAAATATACAAGTGGGGTTCACACTTTAAATGCATTGTGTCATTATAGTGCATTGGCAAAGTTTCACAGCCTTTTTCCTTCTTTTTTTTCATTGGCAAGAAACACTCACACATCAAAATTTGCACCACCTTCTATTTTGGAAGGCAATGAAGAACCAATAGGTTATATAGCCCTAGGTTTCACCATTTGAGTTTGCTGACCTCGTTTGCTCACTGTACTAACACGATGCGTATAATACTACTCACCCTTGAAGACAATCACCATGGTCCCAGGGCAAACTCCTTCTTCCTTCTGCAAGCTTTTGCTCCACCCACAAAGACTTCACTCTTATGTCCCTTAAAAACCTTCAAGCCTTATGTGGGAGCGTCCACGAGTATTCAAGACCCCATTCAATAAATAGTGTATGAGAGAGATGAATTCTCTAGATCTCCTTCCTTTGTAAGACAAAGATGTATTTCAATTCTCTTACCCTAAAATGGTTATAGGGATCTTATATATGAAAACCCTTGAAGACAATCAACATGATCCTAGGGCAAACTCTTTTTTCTTCCTTTTAAAAGCTTTTGTTCCACCCTCAAATAGTTCACTTTTATCAGTTTATGTTCCTTAGAAACCTTCAAATCCTTCTTATGTGGGAGCCTCCATGAGTGCTTAAGACCTTATTCAATAAATAGTGCATGAGAGAAATGACTTCTCTACATCTCCTTCCTTTGCAAGACAAAGATGTCTTTCAATTCTCTTACCCTAAAATGGTTATAAGGATCTTATATATGAAACAACTTTGGAGTGTTAATAGCATTCCCCATTCAAGTATTAGGGTAAATTCCACACCCATTGGGCTTATATTTCTTTTGTGAGCTAAAAGTGAGGATCTAAGAGGGCCCAATTCATAAGACACCTCAATCCATCTTATGAATTGATCGATACACATATTACTCACCAAAAATATGTAAAATTATTTTAACCACAAATTCCATTCATTCGGTTAACGAATCATTGACTTTGGAACACACCCTCAAGATTATATCTATATGGGTATTTAATTTTACGACGCGGTAAATCTAAGCACTTGGTGATTTTGTTATATGAGTAAATGGAACTAGTCAAGGAGAACAATTGAAGTTTAATTATGCATTTGAAATGATGACATTATATTAATCATTTGCTAAGTAGTTGCTTGTATTTATTGTGTAAATTAACAAGGTGGTTTAACCTTTCTTGAATTGGAGTTCAATCACTATTGTATGGTGATATTAATCTTGACATGGGTTGAATCAATTTTTGTGTCATGAAATGACTGGGCTAAAATTGTTGAAGTCCATTCTAGCCCTAAGAGGAATTGGGCCTACTTAGATCTTCACTCTTAGTCCACAAAAGAAATATAAGACCAATGATATAGAATTAGTGTGAAATTGTAGGAACTACTAAGGACAGACTAATACTTGAATGAGGAATGCTATTAGCACTCCAAAGTGGTTTCATATATAAAATCATTTTAGGATAAGAGAATTGAGAGACATCATCTTATAACGGAAGGAGAAAAAGTGTAGAGATTTCATCTATCTCATATACTCTTATTGAAACCTCATTCTTGAACATACTCATGAAGGCTCCCACATAGCAAGGGCTTGAAGGTTTATAAGGAACATAAAAGTTAAGTCTTTGAGGATGAAGTAAAAGCTTGCAAAAGGAAGGAGGAGTTTGCCCTAGGAATCACCTTGGTAAGGTGATTGTCTTTAAGAGTGAGTATTCTAATATCATATACATGTTCATTTCTTCATACATTCATTCATATTTTTTAAAGAACTTGAATCAAACCTCTACACACTAATCTTGGTTGGGAAATATTTTCAAAACCCATTTGCTTTCCAATGGTATCATTAGTTTTGAGCACTTTACTTTTTACTGTTTGCTCTTTATTTTTTCTATTAACTTATAAATATATAAGTGTAGTCTATACTTTAAATGCATTGTTTCTATGAACAGTATGCTTGGATTTTAAATTAAATTATTCCAAACTTGGCCCCCAAATATATTAACCCAACCCAATTACACTAAACATTTAGTTAGTTAATATTATCCCAATCCAATAACCAAAAAATATCACCCTTCTTGTAAGTCCAATCCAATAGCTCTTGTAATATAATATTTGCCCAATAAAAATATCAGCCAAAAACATGATTGCAACAATCCAAAAGCTTGTATATGAATTCTTGCAATGAGATTTCGACGGTGGGGTCCAAAGATATAGATTAAATATGTAAGTTCATTCTCTCTCCTAATTCTCTTTCACCTAGACCTATCAATGGTTCGGATGTTGATATGAATTCGATCCGATTATCCGGATATGGATTGAATAAAAAATTTGATAACCCAATAATAATCTAAATCCAATAGCCGATAGTGATTCAATACGATTAAAATTATATATTTATTACATTACAATATAATATATTAATTATCTACCATTAAATTTATATGTATTAATTATCTACTATTAGATTCATTTGCTTGCATAGTTAACAACTCTCCAGTCCACCTAACCTTATAACTAGACACATCAATTAATCAAATTTTGATCATAATCCAAACCCGATCCGAATCCGAGCCAAATAATTAGGATATGGGATGGAACATTCAATTCGATAATCCGTGAGCTAAACAAATTAGATATGAATTATAGTCAATCTGGTCCGAATCTAATCTGTTTACAACCCTACATTCACCTAAACAATTAGGATAAATTTTTGTATGCATATATAAAGAATGGAATGCTTTCAATTTTTAAATAGTATTGTATTAGATCTTCTCATGTATGGTAAAATCAAACATACAAAGTATTCAATTTTTTTCATGGATTTCACAACCACGCTTTGTCACCATGAACTACAATGCTCAAACATTAAGAAATTTTCTCATGAGGCACAACTACTGGCAATATAATCTGAGACCCAGCTATCTAGCTTTAAACATATATATGTACAATATATAGGTCTGTTTTAAACTCGGACAAAAAGTCTACAATATTGTCATGAATTAGCCAAGAATTGAACATACACTAAAAATGGCACTATCCACATAAGCAAAAAGAAGAATAAGGGAAATATGATGCAAAAAATAGAAAAACTTACAGCTTGGGGTTGTGAGCTTCAATGTCCTAAAGCAAATATCATATAAGGCCTCATTGTCAAGAACCATGCACTCATCTGCATTTTCAACAAGCTGGTGAACAGACAATGTGGCATTGTAAGGCTCCACAACTGTATCCGAGACCTTGGGTGATGGAAACACAGAGAAAGTCAGCATCATCCTATCTGGGTATTCTTCCCTAATCTTCGATATCAAAAGGGTCCCCATTCCAGACCCCGTCCCACCTCCTAGAGAATGGCACACCTGAAACCCTGCATACCAAATAACATAACATCTATGCTTGTAGATCAAACATATGTGTATACATATATATACTTATATACACAGTAATGCTATTCAAATCAATAGACAAAAACAGATTAGATAAATTTATGGGTTCATACATACATCATATATCTCCTGGTCACAATCTATACATGCTAATGAAACATGTGTACCCACCAAGCAGTCACAATCTATACATGTAATTTGTAAATCAAATATGTGAGCAAAAATACATATATAATTATATATACACTAATGCTATACAAATCAAAATACTAAAACAGATTAGATACATTTAAGGGTTCATACATATATCATATATCCAGCAAGTAATCTATACATGTAAGTTGAATATGTGTGCACCTATTCAAATCAAAATACCAACTCAGATTAGATACATTTAGGGGTTCATACATATATCATATATCCAGCAAGAAATCTAGACATGTAAATTGAATATGTGTGCACATATCCGCGCACGCGCGCACATATATAATTATATCTACAACCAAAAGACAAACGGATTGGATACATTTATGGGCTCATACATATAACATATATACCTTGCAAGCAATCACAATTCTCTGCCTCCTTCCTAACAACATCAAGAACAGAGTCGATCAACTCTGCTCCTTCAGTATAGTGCCCTTTAGCCCAATTGTTTCCGGCACCAGACTGGCCAAAAACAAAGTTATCTGGACGGAAAACCTGACCAAAAGGCCCAGATCTGAGACTATCCATAGTCCCGGGTTCCAGATCCATGAGCACGGCCCGAGGAACGAAGCGGCCACCGCTGGCCTCGTTGAAATAGACATTGATCCTCTCTAGCTGAATATCAGTGTCGCCATGGTACCGTCCGGTGGCGTCTATGCCGTGCTCGGCGCAGACCACTTCCCAGAACTTGGCCCCGATTTGGTTGCCACATTGGCCTCCCTGAATGTGAAGAATTTCACGCATTTTCTTGGTGGAAAAAGAAGCGGAGAGAGAGAGATTGAGGAAAGAAAAGAGAGGGTCAAAGAGAGATGTAAATAAGCAAACCCTACCTATGTGTATGGGTTGTTTATAGCAAGTGTGCGTGTGTTTTTAACTTATGCCAATCTAATTTTGGTTTGAATTTTGAATTTCAGTCTAAAATTTCAACGGCCAGGATGTATCTAATCGAGCGATTGCGAGGATTTCAAGGGATTGAAAACCAACTGTCCAATTGAATTGTGAATTTTTGAATTTAAAGCGTTCTTGGTAAAGCCCGTTTGATAAATACAATTGTTTATTATTATTTTTTTTTGCTTTTTTCGGGTTCTTGTTGCATTTGTGAATTTATCAAATCCAACATATTAGTAAAATACGGTACGAAAAAAATATGAGTACAAAAACGTACGAATATAATTCGATATTTTTTTTAAAATACGTTTAAAAAATTTGGCAAAACAATACGAAGACGTAAAAATATAAATACGGATACATACGTGTATAATACGTTATATATTCTAAAAATTCTGGATAAAAAATTCGACTATACACATCTTATTATTTTCTTATATATATATATTTGTAAGGACAATAAAGAATATGTAACAAATAATGAAATAAATATATTACAATTGACACAATCACAATAATCATAAAAAAAAATTCATAAATATATAATTTGATATTCTACATTTACAAACTTCTAAAATAATAATAATAATAATAAAGATATTAACGAAATTTAAAAGATCTCACTACAAAACAAAAAATCTATAAATATTTACAAATATCAATAAAAACTTATGATTCTTCAAGATTATAGTGTTCCACAATATATATATATATATATATATATATATATATATCATTATTTTGATTAAAGATCATAATTGGAGTAACAACAATAAAAGATTGCACAACAAATAACATTATTTTGATGGCTTGAAAGATAATGGCTGTACCAAGTAAAAGAAGGTAGAAAATACAATAGTTTGCACAACAAATAACATTATTTTAATGGTTTAAAAAATAATGGTTATACCAAGCAAAAGAGGGAAGAAACGACAATAGTTTGTGTTTCAGTAAAATAGTTCGTAAACGAAAAAAAATAATAATTAGATTACAAATTAACCGGAGCAACCAAAACGAATAAACGCGTTAGATACAGGGTGATGGAAAAAAAAAACGCGTATTTTATCGTATCTTTGAACTCTGATCGACAAACGAAAATATTTTCTCAAAATTCGTACATACGCGTTTAATTCGCGAATTAACTAACTAGGATTTCAGCTACTTTAGATTTGAATCCTTTTCGTATCAAAATGACCTTCTACTCCTTTTCACTTTTACTTGTGGGTACTCGCATTTCGATAAAAATGTGAAATTTTGGACTTTTTGTAAAATAATAATAATAAATAAATAAGTGCTTACAATGTGCTTTAAATTTTGAAGAATTTTCTACTCAGTTGAGGGGGCGATCTCACATATTCAACAATCCGCTTCAACAGTTACTACATTGCATCCAAATAAAGTTACTGCATTTCAGTCAAGTGATAAATTTTCATTCTGTTACTAACAAATTTGGACAAAATTGTACGAATTACATTTGAAAAACCAAATTGGTGTTTGTGAAATTAAAATTAAAATTAATTAATTTTAATTTTAATTTTCTCCAATTCTAAATTGCTGGTAAATATATTAAATTCCCTATTCCTTAAACAAAAAAAAAACCCACTTTAATTTCCATTCAAGCTGCCAAGGTGAACTAGGACTTGTTCATTTAATTTTTTTTCCATTTTACTTTTTCTTTTAAGAAAGTAAATAATCTCGCTTTTACCATTTGAACTTTGAACTCATTTGCTCAATTAAAAAAAAAAAAAAAACCCTAATGACTATGCACAAAAAGATGAAGAATGTTTCACCCGGGCAAACTTAAGAGATAAAATCAAGTGGACTTGAAAAAATTATTTACCTAGGACTACTACTACGAACTTTAAGTGAATTTTTTTTTTTTTTCATTTAAGTGATATTGTTTGGAGTGATAAGAAATGTGTTCAACTTGAAATAAAAAATATTAAAAAATGACAAAACAATATTTTCATTGTTTACACCATCCTCCCTTCATACCTTGTACTCAAGGACCGAAGGATGACGATCATAAATAACAGCTCATGTCAAGAGAGAACGAGCAAACTCCTCAATTTGCAATTCTTCTCTCTCCACTTTCCGATACCCCGGTAAATTTCAAATTCAAAATAACAAGCCAAAAATGCATTGTTAAATGCTCAACGCTTGGAACAAAAAACAGCAGCTATAATCTTTTTGACGAAGTGGCACAAGGCCACCATTACGACAAAATACACACATTACTCAAAAATTGATTGTGGTTCACGAGAAGAAAATTTCAACTCTATTTTTTACAAGGAAAAAGAAACAAATACTATTTTTTACAATTTTAAATTGTTAGACACAAAAACTTAAAAGGACTAAGAAATTACATATAAGTACAAACACACTATATATATATATATATATATATATATATATATATATATATATATATATATTACAAAAAAAAAAAAAAACGAAAAAGCACCCAAGTGCAAGCTAGCAGCATAACATGAAGACTAATGATGAAGACAGAACCTATAAAACCAGGCGAGGACCCTCTTCTATAAACAAAAAGTAGCATCAGACTCTCAAGCAATTTTCCAATCCGATGAACAGGAGGGGATATGTTCCCGTAATCAAAGACGCGGTAAATGATCCCACAAGTGTAACTTTGGAATGGAGATCTTATGATATGGCATTCCCTTGCAGACACAACAAGAAACTTCAAGGAAAATTAGAGCATTCATAAAAACATAGCATTCCCAATAAGGTTTAGAAAGACAATGTCTCAAACTTGCCATCTACACAAGCACTCAACATTCGATGGTCTCCATCCACATTTACTTCTAATAGGTTTGACAACTAAGAAAATTAAGCAAGTTTACTACCTATGTAAGCATAACTTTAATTCCTTTAGCCCACAAAAATAAACAAATATTAAAAAGTCGAAAAGGTAATGTAAATAAACAAAAAGCCAATATGACCGCCTCATCTAGCCTAAGGGGAGAGCTTAATCCAAACATACATGAAAGTCTACTAATAGAAACCTTCTAACCTCCAGCATATCATTTGAACCTACATTTCTTTCAAAAAAACATGAAGTAAAAGTTTTGATTAAACATATAGATTTCCAACATGTCTTAGCACCTCCTCACGAAGCAGATAAAAATCCCAATCATACAGCAATGAAAAAATCACAAATTTCACTGAATTCGATTCTAGTAAAAACAGCTGTAAACATAGTCAAAAATTCCAACTTGACGTATTGAAACCAAACTTCAACAATGTTATGAAACTTAAATACCATTGCTATTTTATCCCCAAGTAGTTATTATAGTTCTCTAAACAATCGTAAAAGCATTTGCCTCCAATGAGTTTTTATTTGACATCCAATGTGCATAATGAACAGACAAATCTTAACTACCTCATTATAAACTTTTCGTGCAACTATTCTCAGTTTTTTTTTACATATATAATAAGCTTTATACATAGAGATGAGTAGAGCAAACCAAAATTATGGTAGTTTGCACGTATGATCCGAAGTGCCTCACAAATTTACATTCAACAAGAAGCTATACATAGAGATATCAATGGTGTGACACTACTTAAAATTCTCTCAAAAACGAAAGTGATTGCACATAAGAGTCAATTATTAAAGCTTTAAAAAGGGAGAGACTCTAAAGTGTTTCAGCTGTGACAAAAAGTCTCAATTTTAATTTAAGATGCAAATAGACATATCATTAGAATCATCCTTTGCAGCATTCAAACATCTAAATATTTGCTCTATCTGACCCAATGAACAATAACGCACCCATGTTTACATAGCCGAGGCTGAGTAATTAATACTTATGACTGACTATAAAGCTCCCACATATACTCAACGATTACAGGTGATTTGGAGGGAATCAAAAGAAGTATAATATTTCATCCCAACAACACAAGCACTTTGAAAATGGCACAAGCAATCCCATATGAAGCCACATGCATCTATCTACATGGAAGACATCCACCTCAGATACTAAATGGATGAAATTTTTGAAGTTTTTTCTTCTTCAGTTCTCTTATCGCTCCAATTCTCTTATTTCAACTACATTCTCCCCTGTTCTCCTTTTAATAATCCATTTGAATAAGTAGGAGGAGAGAAAGGAAAGGATAATATTAGTCTTTTAGGGAGGGAAAGGAAAGAAAATACTTCCATTATGTTCTGAAATGACAGTGGGGAGGAATAAAGAAAAGTTTGAGTGAAAATGACAAAATTGGAATTGACTTGTTATAAATAAAAAATAACAGCTAAAATCCACCCAATTTTGAGAGATGGCAAGGAATTGATATGCCCAGAGCAACGGCCGCTATTTTAGAGGTCAACAAATCCCTTAACACTCCAATTTCTTGCCTATTTTTCTCCTATTTAAACCAAACACAATATACGCTACCCCCTTCTCCTGTACTTTTTATTTAACTCCACCGATCCAAACACACTATAAGGAACCAAACAGTTCAACAAGTGGATCTTCTAATAACAGATTGGTAATGGGGAATTATGGGACTTCTAAAATCAGTCGAGAAAGAAAGGCCCAGGTGAATAGGCAAGTCAACCTGGACTAGAATTGTACCTTGATAACAAAGCAACGCTATAATTTTTTTGCCAGTCAACCACAACTATCTCTTCCATTCTTAAAATCCAATTTTACACTTTCTGCTTCCATTTAAATTCATACTAAACTCATCCATCACCAATCCAGGCTCTTATTTGTATGTTTTAAAGTGCCAGATTTGCCAAAATCCCTAAATTCAAGAACACAGAGACAAAACTAAATTTCATATTTATAATACTCTTTCTGTAAGGTCACTTGTGTTAAAGAAATAAATTAAAGATGTAACCAAATCAGAGAGTTCTATGTACTAGCATTGAATTATCAGGTACGTTCGCCAAGTGTACAGATCTATACATATCATTCAGTAGGGAATTCAAAACAAACTATACAGATCTATATCAATAAGGTTCTATGTACTCATATTTAGTGTCAAAAAGAAGACAATCAGGATAATACATGAGCGATTGTACAAAAGCATTTATTTATAAAGACGCCATAATCACAAATGCTCTTAGGTGAATTACAACAAATAAGCCAGATTGTTTATCGAAGGTTATCTGATGAAGAGGAAGATGAGATAGAAGGGAGTCAATAATAATAAAAAATGGTGAAAACATACTTCTGAAAAAGGTACCATGAATTGTTGGATGTAATGTTTTAGTTGGAATACGGAAGTAAGTGCACCATGAGTTGTCGAACTTAATAACTAATGGAAGTGCATGAAAAAACAAACAGACAGCTTGGTTTAGAAGAGCATTAGACACAATCTTGTTGATACTTGTTTGAATTTTAATAGTTCGGTGTTCAATTTCAAATGAAGTCGCCTATGGGAATAAATCATTTTAAGTTGTATCTAGTGCTAAATTTGAGTTGCCAAACCCAAGTGAAAACACAACAAATTTTATACCCCCCAACGTTTTAGAAGTTTCTAAGCATAGATCCAAATTATAGTTGACATTGCTGCATGTGCCCTTAGCTTAAAAAAATATTTTTACAACCTAAGCTAAGCTGAATTTCAAGTGCTATTTATAATTTGAGAATTTATTTGAAACTCTTTGTAAAAAATTAAGTATTTAGTGTTTAGTGATAAGTCGCCCACACTCAAAATGTTTTCCCATTTTAAGTGACATGTACTTCAAGTGCTACAAGAGCCAAGGGGAGATGTACCACAACCTAAACAGAAAAGCCAAAATTGATATAAAATTTTATCAAGTCATTGATCATATATGTTAAAAGAGGTATATTTAAGTATAATTTTATAGAAATTAGACTTCCTCTAGCACCAAAGGGTTCTATTTTGCTCCTTCCAAATAAACCACACAAAAGGCATAGAAGGCTAGCTGCAAAGAAAGACAAACGAACAACATGGGCCAAAAATCACTAGATTCCAAGTATTAACCAAGATGTAGAAGTGAGCAAAACTAATGCTGTTGAAAGAGAAACCCTACACATAATAAGAAGTAACCAACAATATTAATTCCTAGGAACATGATTTCTAGTAGGCATGGCTAATGTACTTAAATATATATTTATATTGCATTCTGCCATTGAATTTTCACAATTAGAATCACGATAAAAATGAAGTTCAAAAGTACTAATATAGTAACCGACACACCTTACCTCTTATAAAGAGATGCAATCTTAGTACACTAAAACTTGTAGATTGACTCAAACATTTGTTTTTTTATTTTTATCTCTAACAGCACAAATGTAAAATAGAAACAGAGATTTCTAACTCGTGACACTAAAAATAAGAGAGATGTTTTAGAAAAATGAAGCTTAAAACTGACTACAATCAAAGCGATACAAACTGCTTCAAAGACCCGATATAGATTTGTATTTTATTATTATTATTATTCATTTTTTATTTATTTGCATTGAGCTCTTTAAAAAAATTAATAAGCTAGTCTGCCATATTTATTGTTGACAGACAAGGAGATGGCTCAATGTTCTCTAATTCATTACGATGTGTTTCACAAAAGGATTATCATGCCTAGATCCATAAAAGTTGAATAAAATCTCTACTGCTCTACTTAAAAATAAAAAATTGTAACCTTCACACACCTTGGATCTGCTCTTCATAGAAAAACACGGGAGTTGCAATCCGAGGTAAGACCAGTTCAAGATCAGGGGATCCTTTTCTATCATCAGATAGGATGCTGTTGCACAAAACACACCTCTAAGTAACTGCCCCATAGATCCTATATCTATCTATAAAAAGAAGAAATTATATGGTCTTTTATTTTTAGCTCAGCTGGGTGGGATAGCTGAGCTATTCCACATTAATTATGAATCCAGGCTGGTCAAAACCAATAAAGAAACAAATCCATTAAACGACCAAAAGAAGGGAGGGAAATTTGAACACTCATAAATAAGTGTATTTGAGGTTAAATACCCAAATAGCCATCACAAAACCGTTAAGTGCCCAGACCATCTATAAACTTGTGGTCTTTACTGCCAGAATATAATTGGTTCCAAGCAGTAACAAAACCAACCGTTGCCGGTCAAAAGCTTTCACGTAAAAACTAAGGGCAATTTTCAGAGTCATGTTAGAACCAAAACTCGAAATAATTTCATCAAGTAATCAGCTAACAATAATTTGTCATATTAACCAATTTGCATTTGGTTTTAGATCAAATCATAATCCCACCACATATGGTAAATTTAATCCAATGGATCAAACTCGTCAACTAATGTTAATATCACGTTGAAAGTGGGACATCCTAAACATCAGTAGTGTAACAATTTGAAATTAGCGCACGCGCTTATACAAAAATTTATAAATAATAAATAGAAATACTGATTCGGAACTAACAAGGTAATATACAACAATCCACCCCGTCTCAACAAGCCTTGATCAACAATTTGGGTGTTAACTAAATATAAGGACTTTGTAGAGACATATCCTCAGTTAAATTCAAAGCAATCGTATCATTTCTCACGGCCTCAAGTCACATCTTTTGGCCTTCCTCTTGTCCTTCGGACACCTTTTAGTGGAATCAAATCACTATTTAATACAAGTGCTTTAGATGATCTGAACTGCATATGGTCAATCAGTTTTAAATAATTCTCTCATTTTAACTCAATTTACATCACCTTAACTTCTATTTTCAACCAAGCACCTCACAGAAGTATTATATTTCATATTTAAATTGATATTTCCAATGTGATTAGTTAAGGCTTAATTTGGTTAGATGGAAATAGCAAGAAAGAAAAAGAAATGGGAATTTTTCATTTTTTTAGGAGTTTGGTCAGCAAGAAAAGAAAATTTTTGTGGAAAGTAACTTTACAAAAAACACATGAAAATTTTACTTTCTTGAGAAAACTGTATGAAATTCCAATTATACCCCTTTTCCACTTTCTAAAATAAATTGTCTTTATGCATTATATTTTGTAAGAATATTACAATATTTCTCTCTCCATTTATCTGACAAAAGTTTATTATTTAGATTCTTATATTACTTCTATTTTTAAAAAAATATAAATATTTATTAAATATAAATTTATTTAGACCTATTGTCATATTGAATAATAAAAAATGGACAATTTAGGTAGATCATAACAAATTTCATGCTAACCAAGTGACTCCTAGAAAATTTATTTTCTTTACCTTCATTTCACTTTCTTTCCCTTTCACTTCCTAACATTGGTTTCCATCTAACCAAACGGACCTAATTTAAAAGTAGACCAAAAAAAAAAAAAAAATTGCCTCAGGCATTCACGCCAAGACTCAAAAAGAAATGCCAGATTCACGCTTATGCCTTCAGAAAATGATACACCAGATCATACTTACATGTGATAAACAGTAAACAATTTCAGGCAGGTCATTCCGTACCCAACCCATTGACTGTGAGCAGAACTACACAGCATATTTCAGTTCAGATTGACAGGTCAATGAAACAGCAAAGCCAACTCTATGATAGAGGTGCACCCTCATTCCCTTGCTACAAAAAACCAGCCTGTTTACAATCCAATTATTTCGAAGAGCTGGAAAATGTTGTTTATGAATCCAGGGAAATCAAATCAAGATGAGCCTTTGGTAGTTCAAGCTCAAGTTCATTTCCATTCAAATTGAGCCCGACTAAAGTATATCAACTGCATGAATTGACTTTGCATATAGACAGAGATCAGTTTTGCTTAATTAATGTTTTCCTAGCACAAGTTACTGGTTTTTCAGTGAACTACTATTGGAATAAAAATCTTGTGCCAAACTACTCACTCAGACCAGACACCAAGTCGGACTTGAAAGCAAAAGGACTGAAAGATGACAAAAGACCTGTAAAAAGATAAACCCTCACATTTCATTCTACATCACGCACACAAAAAGAGGATAAGAGGACTGAATAATGACAAATACCCCACTCACAGCTTATTTAATGCTACCCAACTCTTACCCATCTAACAGCAGCCATTCAGAGGATAAACTTTACTTTCCTCACCTGTGTGGACATCATCATCATAATCCATGCATTTATCCCCATATGAATCCACATGAATTCTCCTTTTCCATTCTTTCTTATTACACACCATGTCTTCTCCTAAATTTAATTTTCTGGAATCGTTTTTAATTACTTTATCCTACGTAAGCTGTAGTTGGCCACTTAGACGTTTGCCTTCTAGGCAAACAACTCTTCCTCTTTTAACAGGTGCATCGACGGGTCTATGTTGAATATCACATATCATCTAAGTGAGCCTACTTTCCCTTATTTTATCATTTATAAGCACTATACTTAATGTTCTGCTCACGTTAATTATTTATCTTTATCTCTTTTTGTTATTCCTATCATCCAAAGTAGCATCCTCATTTCTGCTACATGAATGAGTTGAATTTCTGTCATTTTCCACGCCCAACACTCCGTTCCATAAAATATTATTTCCCTAATAACCGTTTTATAGAATTTTCTTTTTAATTTACTTGGTATTTGTTTGTCAAAAAGGATACCACTAACTTGCCTCCTATTTGGCCACCCCACTCCAAAACTACTTCTTACCACATTGCCATCTATCCTCCCCCATCTTTTTGTAATATTGATCCTAGGTAACAAAATATATATTTTGAGTAATTCTTTGGTCTTGGTCTTGAATTGATTTATATTGTCATCGTTGTCTACTTTATCAAATTTACATTCCATATATTCTGTCTTAGTTTTACTAATTTTTAGGCCTGTTATTTCTGAAGTCTTTCCCCATGTTCCTAATTTTGTTGCTAAGGCTTCCTTAGAAGTATTTATTAATACTATGTCATCTGTAAACATTATTTGAAGGAAAAACCAGGTACCAGTGTGTGAATTTTTTTCTCAGGGTAGGAAGCATTACAGTTTTTACCATAAACGTGAATCTTACACAATTCAATATTCATTACAGTTCAATATTCATCCTATCAGCTAACCTATATTGTGTTGCAGCATAGACAATTTGGCATGCATCCATAAAGCAAAAATGATTTACATAAATTTACCAAGACCTAAAAAATTACACTAGACATTTTAATATTCAACTAAATTATCAAAATGTCAGAAAAAATTTGCAAATTTTCAAAGGGATAGATGCATCAGACAAAAATAATTCCCAAATAAATCTCATAGGCACAGAACTACAAAGAGAACTTTACTAATAAATAAAATTGGTGCACTGAACATATCCTTACCACATAAAAGTTTGAGTTAAACTTTCTGCTGAACTTTCAGCCATTTGGTTGTCTGCTTCGCCGAAAAAAGACAGGTTGAATGGAAAAGATCTATTATAGAAAAAAATTCAACCAAAAAATAAAAAACTACTTCAAAAAACTGACCTCAAAAATTTCAATCGATTGCCATAGGTTACATAGCACACCTTAATTCAGTATGATTATGATAAGAGGAAAAGAGGAATTTTTAAGGAAACAACTAATAAGCAACTTTTTTAGTAAATTGAACATAAAACCAGTAATGGATAATCTCCTGAGGGAAAAACTAAAAAAAAAAAAGACCATAATCCTAGCCAGAAGATATTCCAAATTATCCGGTGTCAAGCTACTGGTAACAGAAGTACCCTAAAAGCATCTCAGTTTCTAAGACACGTGTAACATATAATGGCATGAGCTGCAACAGCACTCCAAGTAGAATGATCGATCTACTCTATAATCAGTCAACTACTCTAGTAAATTTAAAAATCAAAAACATCACTCTACTACCATTTTACCATGATTAAGCATGTACAGTAGCATACTCTCCAAGGATTCTTCCTCCTCTCCTCATATACCACCTTTTATTTATTGGTGTAAGGGGTTCTAGTAACCTACTCACAGAGAAAGCTTATACATTTTAATTTTGTCATGAAGTTCACATATTTATAACATATTTCCACCTTTTAACAGATTTGAATGGATATGCGGACTTACTTTTTCCAATTAGATGCAAAAAGTTGACTGCCGTCAGATGTGGACCATGTCATTATTTTGCTTCAATGCCAAAATCACCGTAGATGGTTATCCATCAACTCATAATTCAATGGCTAATTTTTCCAGTTCCTTTTTGGCGTTTTAAGTTCACTGGGATCAACAAGAAATATACTCCTTCACAAGTAACACAAGCGATATATGGAAGGTAACAAATGAAACAACACAATTTTAACAACTATTTAGGTCGCCTACATTACTCATGTTTCACCACTGTTTTCTATCTACAACAATTTCACAGTTGAATCCAACCCGACTATAACATTCCACACTATCATAACACATGTTAAATTTCCTCTTCCTCCTTCCTTTGCAATATAATCGATGTGGACCATGTTACTTGTCCTCAATAGTGCAGTTACTAGTCTTCCTCGCGGTGACCAATCCATCCTAGACAATTTTCTCTCATTTTATTTCTGATGGTGCTACTTCAACCATTTCATGAACATCTTCATTATAAAAATGTCCTTTTTTATTGTTCCATGCATCCAACTAATATCTGTATTTTATTTATTTATTTTTACAAGTAAGATTTCATAAGTTCGCTTCATGAACATGTTATTAGCCAACCAGCATTCTATTCCATAAAATATTAGCTGCTTTTTTAACTATTTTAGTATATGAGTCACGAAAAAGCTTGGAGCACTTCTCCAAGTAATTTATCATGCTTTAAGTCAATGAATAACATCAGCTGCAATCTCCCCATTTTTGGAATAAACAAGCCTAGGCAACAGAACTGTTCACCTATTCATGTATAGTTTTTGCCACACCTCAAGCAATTTCCTAGTTAATAATATAGTTTTTGCCCAGCTCAAGCATTTTCCTAGTTATGGTCTAATCAAACGATTTTGTTAACCAAGACATGCCACCATCATCTAAACACTCCAAGCTTCAACCTTCCCTCTTGCAGTCATATTCAATGCATGTTTTTGCTCAATCATCTTTAATTTAGGGGAAAAAGGATCATATAATTAAAATATCATTCCATAAACAGCTATCAAAACGACCACTAGAATATTAAAATATGATGAGAAGGAACAAAAATATTCCATAAACACAATCCAAAGCGATTTTCATTAAAACACTAAAATATGATGAGAAGCAACAAAAACAGTTTTTAGTTCTGGCGAAGGAGCCCATGCATCAGGAATACAAACTCCTAACACAGATGCCACCAAACAAAGCCAAAAGGACAAACAAAATCAATACATTCATTATTCATCAATTATGCATTAGTTAGTTCAACCCCCTTTATTCTAGTAGAGAGTAATTATCAAAATTGCCTTCCTAGTTTAAGTTCACTTCAACGTTATACTCCCTCATCAGCAAGGTTACAGTCATCACTCAGTGTCAAATGCAACTAAAATTTTACCAAAAATGGAGGTTCTTCTAAAATGCGCACTAAGACCCTGTTATCAAAGTTGCGAGTTGCTCTTGAAAACCACACAAACGAGTGCTCAAAAGCGAATAGTCAATTATATAAAGGCCCCTAGCCCTAGGTACCGAAGCAACTTACAAGTAAAAAGGAAAAGGTAAAATCTTTCAATTGCACGGCCCAATACAACCTACCAAAAAAGTGACCAGAGAGGTACAAGGCAACCAATGGTCATAACCCAGTTGCTCCTGTGAATAATCAGAATTGTCCAGTCTTGTCAAATCCAGCTGTTTACTAATTTGTGCCAACCAAACCAATTAGTTACACCATTGTGGCAAATGAGTTCGGATACCACCCATCAAAATTAGAGCAGCAACCTACTACCCAATATATTTGAGATCCCAACAAAAGGAAGAATGTAACATTACCAAAATAGTTGAATGTCTAAAAAGTAATAAATAACCGACTTAATTGAACTTTTAGGTTGATGTGGTTGAATGACCATTTGACCCAACTCCATTATAATTAGGTCAACCAAGGGTTCAGATCCACGAAACAACACTCCCTTTCACTTGAGTAGTTCACCAGCTCTATGCCTTGCGCTTTACAATCAGCCACAGAGCATAATCCATGCAAGAAATTTCGGACCAAGAGTAGTATGCCTGAGAAGGACGAGTTGCATATAGATTTTTCTAAGTCTATTTTCCGGGAGTAACACTGATTGAGAATAACAGTAGGAAAATCCAAGCTTTCTTGAAATTTAACTTCATTTTGTGGTGCTATTTGGTAAATGAGAATTTCAAACAAGTAATTTACCCAAATTCCTAAACAGAACACCAAAACAAAAACAAAAAAATAATAATAACAAGATTTTTTTTTTGCTGGGGGGTGGGGGTGGCAAAAAACCTGGTCCATTAGTGGCACCAGAGACAGACCACACACAGAGAAATACGTAGTTAAGCAAAGTGGGAAACCAATATTGAACAAGACGGAATATTTATAGGTCAAAGTCACCTAAATCCAATATGCAGATCCCATTAAACTCAACAGCATAATAAAAAATTAAAAATTAAAAATTAAAAAAAAAACATTACATAATCGAACCAGCAAAAATCTAAATAGCCATCAAGTATCCATAGATGAAAAGAACAAAATGAAGATCTTTAAACTGATAGTGCAGTATCACATTTCACTAAAAATGCTAATTTGACAGAGAAAATGTCAAAATCATGAACAAAACAAACTTAACTGCCACTGAAACTTCAGTTCCAAAAAAACCATCTCCAAAAACAGGGCAGCAACCTGAAATGACAAAACTAGCATAAACCACCCAGAAAGCATAGAAGAGATAGAGAAGGGTGAATCACCTACATTACTAACTCTTAAAAAACTGAAGACTACTGTGAGCCCATGTCGGTAATTGATCACTTCAGCTCATTTTCCAGCATAACTACCAAGACTTAAGGCCTTTTCCCACGACCCTCATAACCAGCACTTCTAGACTTGCTTGCCTCTTCAAATGAAGAATGATCATTGGACGTTCTAGAAGAATAAACCAAAAAGGGCGTTAGAGGCTTCTGAACTGATAAATAAGCAATTTTAATAAACTGATGATTACATACATACCTCTGTTTCTTTGCATTCTGCTGCTTTATGCTTAGTACCATATCCATAGCCATCTTCTGGTGTTCCCTTGTTTGTGAATGCATGTCTAGACCTTCCACCGTTTCACAATCAAATTTACAAATGCGGCACCATCCCATGCTCATTGGCTTCCTCTTTCTTGAGTTGTCGAAGGAATTTATGCCACCCTAGATGCAATCAAAAAGATATATTTAACAAATACAATAGCATAAAAAATCGTACAAGAAAAGTGCACTCTCTTCGAAATATTGTATTATATATAATTAACGCTATATCAACCATCAGTTACACTGTCAAAGAATTCAAAGAAAACATGGGAAAAAATTGAATAACAGAGAAACTAACAAGATATAAACACTTACTGTGTAAAATCCACCATCATTTGGAAATCCTTGCAGGGAATAACTGCTTCTAAATCCAGGTTCACCAAGACGTGGATGACTTGACTTGTTGCCGCGAAGTGATTCACCAAGGGGTAGATGATGAGCAAGGTCCCCCATACGTGCAGGATCAGGAAAAACACCAAACTCACCAGGCTCTCCCAAATGCAAATGAGCTGGTAAGTTCCGGGGACCCATAAATTCACCCCTCCGTGAATGGCCAGGCAGAATATCTCGCCCAATCAAGTCACCACCGCGCGAACCAATTGGACCATCAAACTCACCTCTTCGCAAGTGGCTGGGTAAAATAGGAAACCGACTCTCATGAAATGAATTGCCAGCTCGATCTGAAGGTAAATTGAAGGATCTGGATCCTTCGCCAAATGCGCGTGGTTCCCTGCCATCAATATCATCCAGGCCTGACTTGTTAGTTGACATGCCAGAAAGACCTCCAAATCCCGGAGCTGAAATGCCAGGATACTCTCTACCCGGACTTCTAGGAGTTAAACGGTCCATATGATGCCGACCAAATCCAGGTCCACGAAAATCTGGATGAGTACGAGAGATATCTGCTCTCCCAATGTTATCATCAGGACCAACCGGGTGTGTTCTTTCTAGAGTATCACCCGAGTGAAATGTACCAGCGGGATGATAAGGAGGTAAGAACCTTGTAGGAGCACCACCAGCACTGGGATCCAACTTCAATCCAGCATCAGAATTGATACCAACAGTTGCCTTGTCATGTCGCTCTGGTGCTGCATCCACAACAAACCACAAGGAACATTATTACCAGATATTGACAAAGAAAAGTAACTACCAAACTTTAGAGCACGCCAAGTGCCCAAATGAGAACACCGAGGGAACAGTTTAAGATCTTTGAACTCACCTCGATCAAGGTGCCGACCTGGTTCCAATGGGAAGGGATTTAAACGCCCGTCTGTTCGTGCAGATGAAAAATCATGACCTGGGCCCCCACCCATTCTCAACGTATTTGATTCTAAACCAGAGGGTGGCCTAAAGGGACTCATTCCCAAAGTCCCAGGCAGATGGGATTCAGGTTGTCTGCCATCAAAGGGACGGGACTTCTGATGTGGAAAGGTTTCAGTCTCCAACGGATTAATAGGATGCTGCTTACCAAAATGACCTTCAGGGCCATGCGGTGGTGCTCTTCCCATTATCCCACCAAATGAATCAAATGAGCCCGGAGGAACCACACCTTGTGGTGCCCCTCCACCAGGAAGTTCACCTTGGGAAATCCTAGGGAGCGCAGCATGTTGAGTAGGAACAAGACCTTGATTATAATGTCCTTGAGGAGCACTAGCTTGCAGAGGAAGGCCAGCATGATTAGGTCCCCTCCCAAATAAAGAGCCAGGACCTGGGATTCCATCCAAGGGTACTTCAGGATGAAAAGAACCATAAGGCTGCTTCAAAGGTGGCCGCAAATGCTCAGGTGGATTTAAAGTTTGTCCTGGCTGAGGTAAAATTCCAGGTCCTTGAGGCCTTAGTGGTTGCCCTGGCACTTGTGCATGATACGGGGGTCCTGGAGGTGGTCCTGTCGGAGGCACTGACTGTAACATTGAAGGTGCAGCAGGCCTTTGTTGATGAGTGGAAGCCCCATAGTGCATCTGCGGTTGCTGAAGCCTTCCTTGATCGGTGAGTGGAACAGGATGGGAAGGATGCATGAATCCCTTGCCCTGCACCTGACCATTTGGCGGGAAGCCCCTATATTCATCAACCCCAGGAACTTGATGTGTATGTTCGGATTGACTCGAATTTCGGTCCGGATAACCATGTTGCGAAGGATCCCTACCAACAAGAGGAGTCTGAGAATTACCCAGAGGGACAACTTTCTGAATTGAATTATCAGATGTAGAAGCAGATGACGGAGGAAGAGCTTGTGAACCTTTTTCAGCCCCAGTGGAAACTGGTACACTTGCATCCACTACATCTTTCAGCAACTTCCCACGTTCCTCAAGAGCTTCTGCTTTTTGCATCGATGCATCATCTACGAAAGACTGCTCCACTTGTTTAGGGACATCAGCATCCTTGTGCTCCTCAGCTACAGTTTGAGTAGACTTGCCACCAGGTGAAGGCTCCAACATACCATCAGTACCCTCTTTCTTCACCATAGGCTTAATTGCAGGATCTCCTGGACCATTTTCTGCGGTATATGAGGCCAAGTCTGTAGCCTTGCCAAGAGTGTCAAACTGACTAGCATTATTCGCATCATAACCCATGGGTTTCTGTTCACCAATCATGGATTTCACATCTGTTTCAGATTTATGAGTTCTTCCTTCAACTGAATCAGCTCCAAGACCAGATGTCAGAACCAAACCATTTGCTTCTGTTTTGGCAGTTTTCTGAGAGGGTGATTCAACTCCTCGCTCGGCTACATTCTTATTGGACATATGATCGCCTGAAATTGTTTGCAGTTGGTTGCTGGTCCTAAGTGAATTAGTCTGATTCACAGAAGGCGGATTTGTAGCAAGCTGCATCGGCCTAACTTGAGGTGCACCAACAAACCCACCAGGGGCTTGCTGAAATTGTGCCCCATGATTTGGCATCATAGGTCTTCCCATATAATTTTGAGATTGGTGAGGTTGCATGCCAAGTGCAATTTGCTGTGACTGCTGATAGGCATGAGAATTTTGTTGCACTGGATGAGGCTGACTCTGAGGACGCAACTGGGACTGCATAAGCTGCTGCTGATGAGGTGCAAAATGACCCTGCTGATGTAATTGACTCTGAACCGGACCCGATGTTTGTCCTGGAATAGGATGTTGCTGCACATATTGATGGGATGCTGGTTGTTGAATTGGCTGCATAACAGGAAGGTGATGAATTGGATGACCAGGTTGCTGAGTGTGTGGGAGAACTGACTGCTGTTGTGCAGGAGGGATGCTAGGGACTTGCCCCTGAGATGGCACCAAAACTGGCTGTTGCTGGTTAGGAATTGGAGCATGAGATTGGGGTGGACGCATCTGAGAAGATTGCTGAGGGAACTGACCATGCATTTGGGAAGGATGCTGAGGCAGAGGCCCACTATGGGGATGCATATGCATAAGGTGCTGTTGTGAGCCTCCTGATTGCATTTGCGGGAGACCATGAGATTGTGGATAGGAGTGATGGCCCGTCACTGCAAGGGTCGAGGGATGCTGAGTCTGAAGCTGGGCATTTGGATTTGGCATCTGATTGGACTGAGGAGGGTGGGGCTGGGGAAGAGGATTGGGATGATGTTGAATCTGTGTGGGTGGCTGAGCTTGTGGTTGAGGTTGAGAATGGGAATGTTGCTGGGGGTGAACCTGTGAATGAGGCTGAGACTGAATTTGTGGCTGTGGATGTTGCATCTGAGAATGAGGCTGTTGATACTGAGGCATCTGCATGTGCTGTTGTGGATGAGACTGAATGGGCTGGGGCTGGGGCTGGGGCTGGGGCTGAGGGTATGGCTGAGCCTGGGGGTATGGCTGAGACTGGGGGTATGGCTGAGACTGGGGGTACAGGTGGCCGTGCAGAGGTGGTTGAGTCTGTAATTGCATTTGAGTGCTAGGCTGCACTGCAGGGTGGAGTTGTGGCTGTGGATTGACTAGAGCTTTATTCTGATTTTGGACAGGAGCCGGAGCTTGGACATGCTGATGCGGTTGAGGCTGTGATTGAGGTTGAGATTGAGGCTGTGGTTGAGCTGGAGGTTGAGATTGAGGCTGTGGTTGAGCTGGAGGTTGAGGTTGAGGTTGAGGTTGAGGTTGAGGTTGAGGTTGGGGCTGGCCCTGAGCCTGCACCTGGGGTTGAGGCTGAGGATGAGGTTGAGATGGGGGTTGGGCCTGAGGCTGCCCTTGCACGTGTTGAGGATGCTGCTGGTATTGCTGGATGGCCTGTTGTTGATACGGATAGTAATTTTGATAAGTCTGCTGGTAGGGGTCATATCCAGGATACTGCTGGTAGTACTGTTGATATTGTTGCTGATACCACTGTTCTGGAGTTGGCACAGCAGACGGAGCTAGAGCCTGAGCCTGAGCCTGAGCCTGAGCCTGAGCCTGAGCCTGAGTATTTGCACTTGTTTGTTGATTAGATTCATGTCCAGTTGGTGGGACAGTTGTCGTTTGTGAAGTCTGGGCCTGTGAAGTTGGTGGTCCAGATAGATTACCAGTCTGGCCCTGGTCAGCAGAAGCTGCTGAGCCTGTGGCTGCAGTGTCCTGGCCACCCTGTGATTGCTGTGCTTGAGGCTGCACACCCTGTTTTTCAGTAATACAAGAAATAACTAATTCGTCAAGAAAATAATAGTATAATCATATACATATCTATACATGGGTACACCTTATTGTACTCACAGGACAGTTTTGTGCATGCTCCTGTACTTGACGATGCACAATTTGGATTCCACACCTGTTGCATACCACTGGAGAATTTCCAAAGGCACACCCAGAGCAATGCGAAGTGCACTCAGTTAAAGGACCTTGCCATGTGCACCCACTCCTATGATAGAGACAATGAACTACTATTTTCCCTATGGTTTCTGCCAGTGCTTTGTTTGATTCTATTAGCGGCTGTAAGAAAGGATTATATAAAAAATTATAAAAATATAACAAGAAACTTAATTGCAGTATAATCCATAATAGAGTGAGAGAACCTTAGAATCCGCCTCTGTCACCAAGTATCCATCATACGGGCAAGCCCGGGTAGTTCCCACAACGTATGTCAAACAAGGCTTGCAATATAGATGGGTGCACTGTGACTGTAGCGCTTCACTTGGGTAAACAAGCAGGCGACACACGGGACAGAAGTACTCTCCGGCAAGAGACTGAATGTTCAATATACACTCGTTATCGAAACCCATGTCGACACAGATTTATGCCTTAACTCCCACTGTACATCAATGCAATGATCCCAAAACTTAATGGATTATATAAGCTGCACTAGGCAAAATGGACAACTTCTGACAGAACATGCTTTGAACAGCCATGTAATTAGTAAAATAATATTCTCATGAAGATCATTCACATCATGTGACATTAAAAAAAAATTGAAGGAACAAAAAAAAAAGAGTCAAAAACAAACTTAGAGGATGCCTATATCATCTAATGATTTTCTGGCTGCATCTAAATTTTATCTTGCTTGCAAACCAAAACTAATACAGAGAAAGAAAGAAGACAATCACCAAGACAGCTTGTGTTGCATAAGCGACGGCTGAAATTCATCAAATCAACTATTAGACACTCAGAGGCACACCAAGTGTCAAGGTCTCTAGAAGACTAGCACAGGGCAAAATGTAAGGCACGAGCGTGATCAAGTAAAGCATGAGTAATAAAACGAATACAAAATATAGGTATAAAAAAATATAGAATGTGACACAAACAAAACAACACAAAAATAACGGAATTTTTCAGCATATCAATTCAAAGGACTAGCTTAATCAATATGCATGTATATATATATACACACCTTTTCAGTTTGCATATGAATTCAATTATATCAATGCACAACAGAACAATTCAATATATGGAAGTAATCAAAAGTTCTTTAAAAATGGAATTCATTACATAAAAATTAAAAGGACCAAGCAAATTAATGAGTAAATTAATGAGCAAAAAACATTTCAATATGCATTAATTAAATAAAATACCATTAAAATAGCAAAAATAAAAGGTAACAATCACAGAAATTTTGAACATATATTATATTAACGTAAAACTTCTAAATCATGCATCAAACACGATTAATGTATTGTGAGAAGTCAACCACGAGCTTATGAATTCCATCAAATCATTATCATCGACATCGTCATCCTTGCCTTAATCCCATATTGAACAAAATGATCCAATTAATGTGACAATGATGTCATGTAAAATATGTAAATTCAACGCATTTAAAAAATCAATATAATGAATGATTTAAAAAATAGAAGTGCTTTATTGAGTATGGAGTTAGGTGACAGGCCCCTTATTCCTACTTTTGCAGCTATAGGTTTGCACTTTAACCCGATATGGGAAGCTGCAACCATTGAATGGTTATACAATTGTGGCCTTGTGAGCTAATGGTTCTACACTTCTTACTTGGTGTAGCTTGTTACATGTGCTGGCTCGGAAAAAACAAGAAATAACCCATCAGTGTGCAAAATTATATAAGATGTCCTTTAAGATCAAAACAATTCCATCAAATTGAGTGTGATTTTATGCGAGATAGCATTGGGACACTCCAGCTGAGCCTTGATGAGCCTGCAGCTTTTTTGGAGGCACAACCACTTAAAACTATGTATGCTAAAACCGATAATTCAAAAAAAAATCAATATGACCCATGGCAAAGCAGATAGTAATAACAAAAGGTTAAAACAAACCATAACAGTAGTCAACATTTCCCATAAGTGATTCGACTAAAACCAATCACAGAGAAGTATTCCCACACAACAAATAAGTGATTTGAAGCCATTTTCAATTTACATAACTTCCTTATGAATGTAGAAAGAAAACACAAAAATGAAACATTAAACCAAAATCATTTCTCATTACCCAATATATAATAACAAGCCAAATCTAAAAACCCAAATGAGCCTTCTTTCACTTTAGGACGGGAGGTTAGCCCATTAATAATGCAGATATTATTCATATTTATTTAGGCATATATATATATTGCATTGGTCTATAGGGGTCATTGCTGCCTATGACGGTAAAATTGGGCTGTCAGTTGTGAAACAAGAGTTTCAGTATAAGAGCACTCCTCTCATTACCCCTACAATAACCCTCGACCAATTCAGACATCAGTATATACAAACATTAAAACTTTGACTCACAGTGATACCGTAAAATCTGAAATAAAGTAATTAAATCCTAAAATTTCCACAAATGGCATAAATATGATACAGATACATTATGCAACCAACCTTACGGGAAAAGAGAGAAAGCGAGAGAGAGATTATACAACCAAACTAACATACACTCAAGAAGGCAGATACATAAAAACCCTAAGAATTAACTTCTGTCACTGTTCAGTACTCAGATATAAGTAACCGCTCACTCTTGTTCCGTTAAAGCCACAAAAAAAAAAAAAAAAAAAAAAAACCCCTAATAAACGATAAGATGCAAGAATCTCAAGACCAAAAAGGGTAGCAAATTCAGAGATCTTCATAGATGACGAGACACCAAACAAATTCATTCATAAAAAATCAAAAATCAATGGAAACAATAAATAGATCAGCCAAACCCAACAAAATTCAATTATATGCGATAAAATTATCAGCACAGAGAACAACCTATAGATTAAAAATCTAGATTTTTGCTGTATTAATAGATCTCGCACCTGAAATATTGCTCATATATGATTCAGGATTGTAAACCCTACGCCCGAGGGAGTAGGTGAATAGAAGTAAGGATTTCTAGGGTTTTCGAGAGACAAAACAGTGACAACAATTTAACAAACTGTCGAGTGTATCGAGTCTGGTTAGTGATTGAAAAATGAAATTTATAGAGAGAGAGAGACACAGAGGGGCAAATGGGAAAGAGAGCTGAGCAAAGCGGTGTTTATAAGGGGATGATGGAATGGCTTTGGTCTCGTTTAGATTCTTTTCAGAGAGAGGTCACGGCGTTAATGGATTTTACCCTAACGGCTGGCTACTCACGGCGGACGTTAGAATTTGGACACTGTATTTTTAATATAATTGGAAATCTTGAAAATTGAAATGCTTTTAAGAAAGAAAAAAGCTTTTTTAAAGCTCCAAATACTTTAGCATAAGGGTCGGTAAAAATTTATGACACTTGGTTATACAGAGATTAAAAGAGTCATCTTATAGTGAATATTTCAATTAGAAAAAAATAACACATTTGGATATACTTATAAAAAAATATTAAAGATTATTTTCAATATATATTTATATATAATCTATGCGTATACATACTTTTGCAATTTTTTTTTATAATTAATTTCCATCCATTAACAAGTAAAAAATGTTATAGGGTACCTCCCTATAGTAGGGGACAAGTTGTAACATTTTGGGTAGCCACGGATTTGATCGAATTAGCCACCAATCATAATACGATTCGCTTTCAATTGATTGATTTTTTTTTAATTCGTCACCGATTTGTGAGATAACGAATCGAATTGGATTCGTTGAATGACAGTTTGTATCGGATCAGATCCACATATTATATTTTTTTCTAAATAGTTCAATATTATTTATTTTTCATATATTTAAATGATCACTAACTAATATATTTTTGAAGTTTATTAAATGATCATTTACTAATAAAATTATTTGAATATATATATACATGTATATATCTTACGAATCAGACTCACGAATCAAATTTTAGCAGCCTATTACATGATTCGATCCGTAAGTTACGGATTCGGTTTTTTCGAATCCGCCACCGATTTGTGAGTATAGCAATTAAACTAGGTATTTGCTTGCATTAAAATAAATGAATATTAATTTAACTATCCTTTAATTAATTTTTTTTTTTTTTTTTGTGAACATTTTCTTAAATGAACATTTCTATATAATAATTGGCCAAAATTTGTGCACTCTGACTATTTGAAACTAATATTTTTGGTGTTTTAACTAGATTAATTGGATTTAATCTAAATATACACATCCTTTACATGAAATGGCCATGTGTATAACAGAAATAACACAGCCTTATAGTATTTTTTTTTTTTTTAATAAACTTTAGATAGCTAAATAAAAAATAACTATTTATTACACAATTCGTCCAATGATTTTAAACACTAGAGAAATTAAAAGGTATATTGGATACAATTGTAAAATTCTCCTTGTGAATGGATATTTGAATTACTTTAAATCTTTTGAATTTTTGTTTTTTTTTTGAAAGATAATCTTTTGAATTTTCATAACAAGATAATTGTAGACAATCAAATTGAAAATGCATAACCAATTATAATTTCAACTACTTTATAAAAAATTTGAATAAAAGTTTTTTCGGTAAAGAAGTATACCAATAAAAAAAAAAATATTACATATTTACTTGGATACCCCAAGGCCCATACAAAGGTAGGCCAACAGGCCCACTAGGCAACAAAAAACCAACTGTAACAATCCAAACCAAGGAAATAAACATTTCAAACTCATCCAGAACCAGTATATACAATCAGGCCCAATGAAGCCCATTTGAGTTGTTATATAACAATTCGTATCAATAAATACGTTCATTTATTTTTTTAGCTTTCATTTTTAGCATAAGTAAACTTTGTCACCTTTCAAAGCAAAAAGTTGAAGGGTTGAAGTCCCACAGGGAGGTGTAGGCGTGTGAGTGGTATCTTGCCCACATGTGTTTAAGCCCACGGGTGTTGATAACCACTAGTCCGAACAAATATCCTATTAGTATTATTGGGTTACTCCGAAAAAAGACCCAATTGTAATTGGGCTGCACCCTGAAGGATCTTTCTTTTACTGTTCAGAAATGGGGTTTTAACATTTTTATATATGGCCTGGGCCTAGTACACTTTTATGTGATAATGCATGAGCACGGAGGAACACAGAATGGCCCAAGTACAGAAACATTAAAGTTCTAAATGTCGTGTGCTTTAACAACTTTGTTTTATATGTGGTTGATATGGACGACTTGGAGAGCCCTTCCCTTTGAGGATCCCTTATGGACTCCTTTTTTGGTAGCATTGATCATCCATTCCCGGTCTTGGATATTTATTGATGATCAAGTCCATTATACTGAAGTTGCTTAAAAACTAGAATGCTTGGTGTATGTTATTTGGATCACATCCTAGCGGTCGGAACGAATGTTTTACGTTACTCATTGTTTTGTAGACTTTGTTATGTTTGCGAGGGAAAAAAAAAAAATTGTATCTTGCCATAAAAAATAATAATAATAAAAATTAAAAAGTAAATTTCCATGAATTTCAACCATCAACTTCAATTAATTCTTTATTTTCATAACAATACAATTGCAAAAATAAATAAATAAATGGATGGAACCATTAGTGTGACTTTTAAAATTTTGCAATGAACATTGAAATTAAAGAATGAAAATGTTAGTAATTTAACTACATTTTCAAAATTTTGTTGCAAATGACCTTCGACAAACATTGAATATCGTGCATCTAACTTGCACTCACAGTAATCACAAACCACAACTAAATCGACTTAGGCTTCATTTTTTTTTTTTTTTGGGCGTAAAATGTTTGTTGGGAAAAGGTTTTTTTTTTTTCATCATTTTTGGGTATTTAGTTGTCCAAGAAAAATGTTTACAAGTAGAATGTTTTACCAAGTTTCTTCAAAAACCATTTTCCCAAATATTTTGGTGTAAAAGATTCCATCATTGCTTTTTATTTGGGATGCAAAATAATCTCACTATTGAATTTTTTGGAATGGACATCCAAATTAATTTAACCATCTTATAAATTAATGTGAAGGGGTGATTGTGAATAATTTAATTATATTTTCAACTACCATTTAAATATTTGTAGTTACTTAATCACTTATTTCAATAGCCTCAACTACATATATTAAAAAAATTAATGTTCATTGGTCATCAAGGAAAATTATATTTTGGTGACCAAAATTAAACATAATTGGTGTAAAGTGACCATAAAGTCAAGAAAAGGTAAATAGTCACCAAACCTAAAACTTAATTAGTAATAAGTGACCATTTGATAGTTTATTACCTAAATGACCTTCTTATAATATATTATTATGTAAGTTGACAAATTTACCCTGTACATTAAGTTAAATAAACACTTACTTAAATTGACTAACAAAGAGAAGACACATTATCGGGGTGGGTCTCTGAAGAGAAGACCAAGATGGGAGAGAACTGAGGACAGATGTTCTACATCGTTTTCTTCAAGGTTCTAAGAGGCAAGACAAACTTAACATATTGAATTGATCTAATACTAGTTATATCGCCAAAACATACAACAAGATGGTCACAAACCCGTCCTTGAGGGAAGGCACTAAAACAAGGCTCACAGCCCCTTAACCTTTCTCTTTCAAATGACAAAAATGAGTAATCCACAACCCTAGTTTAACTAAATAGCCTTAACCACATCTTGTAGCCGTAACCTTAGAATCATTCAGAAAAAGATGATATATTAAAGCAACAAAGTGAGAAGGGACCCACCTCTATAAATATTCTATAAAGAGCATTTTGGGATGAAACTTCTTTTTTTGATTTGCCAGTGTAAATATTATGTTTTGCGATCATAGTGGAGAGCCTTGGAAAAGAGAGAAGGGTAGAAAAAGAGATAATGTTCATAAAGAAACCCTAATTTTTTAAATTGGTAAATTGGAAGCTAAAAAGGAAAAAAGAAAACATTGGATGAGAGAGAGAGAGTACGAGGATGAATTCAATGAGTTATTATTTGTATTGGATGACAATTTTGTCATCTAAAATTTATTTTTAAAATGTTTATCAAACCTTCAGGTGCTTTTGACCAAATTATCCTTAAATGGTCACTTAATATCAATTAAGTTTCAACATTGGCCACTAGACATCTTTTCTTGACTTTAAAGTCACTACGGAGCAATTATGTTTCATTTTGGTCACCAAAATATAATTTTCCTTTCTATTATCAATAACTTAAAACCACAATTTGATTTTTGGGTGAGTCTATAGTCTATACTAAAATAAATTATAAACTTCCACCATTGACTTTGATGAGTTTTAAACTTCTTATGATAAGAAAACTGCATAACATTGAAATAAATTGATGAAAATTTAACTTAATTACCTTTTAAATATTTTTCCCGTGAATATTGAAATTAACCAATTAGAACATTAATTTAACTTCCTTTTAAATTTTTTATGTGAACGAACGATCTTCAATAAATTTGAAATTACTACTATATGACTTTCGAAAATAAATCTCAAAACTATCGTTTGATTTATATTATTTGAATTCTAAATTGCTCTAAACCATCTTTATGCAATAATTTTGGCCAATATTTGTGTGCACTATGACCACTTGAAAGTAATATTAATTGATGTTATCAAAGGACCAAATGGCCCAGCAGTATCACCCCTTCTTCCCCAAATGAGAGGTCGGGGTTGAATCTCAGTGGAGGTAGGATGTGTGCGTTAATTGCTTTAACTTCCAAATAATATTAATAATAATAATTGATGTTTAAACTAAAAAACTTGATTTTATAAATAAATAAGTACATTAACTTTAATCCTCAAAGCATATTTTGCCGATGTGTAAACCAGACATAAAGATTCAACCAGTGACTAAGGATGGCAAAATACCTCGCCCCTTAGGGTAACCGTCCCATTTAGAATAGTTATAAGGGTGGTTAAATGGTTTTGGGGTGGGAATAGGTGTTAGGATTGAAAACCCGCATGGATGGGATGGGGATGTGAAAAGGTCACTTGCTGCGCCACGCCCCGTTTATAGTGATAAATTACAATTTTTTTTTTTTTTTTTTTGGGCCGGGATTGAGGGTTAGGATTGAAAACCCGCATGGTTATGGGACAGGGATGGGAAAAGGTCACCCGCCGCGCCCCACCCCGTTTATAATGTTAAATTACAATTTTTTCCTTATACTTTATTTTATA